TTCAATTACACTGCGGGTCGTAAAGGGCAAATTACTAGTCGCAAAAGTATTAATTTGTACTTCTATGGTCAGGTGGGTCTCTGGCGGTACTGTCAAATGAGTATACTGGCAGCAATCTGCATTTAGTTGCTCAAGGATTATTATTACGTGTTAAATAAATTCTGGGTAAATATTCTGGTAATGGACTTCTTTGTTTAAAGTCGTTTTTAAAAGGGTCTCATTGTTATACTTGAAATTTTCGAATGTCGTAAAGTTTTACCATAATATTTTGAAATTTATTACTGCGATAGTCCCAGATTTACCGGCATACTCTTCTTTCCTTTTACTTCAACTTCATCTTCGATAAAATGTCAATACAATGATACTGAAGTCAATTTGAAGATAAATTTCTGCCGTTATCTTCAAATATCTGGTTTCCTTGGTATTTGACTTATTCAATTAATCCCCTACATCGGCGTTAGAAACTGCCTTGCTAAGTAGCGGGTGAAGAAAATCAAACGATTATGATTTAGCAACCATTCTCAATATATTCTGCCAGCTGTATATGCGCTGTAGACGAATCAGCGATCTTTGGTTAATGCGAAGTAATTCTATCCAATAGGAGATGTAAGTGGTAGAAGCTTTTTCAGCGTCGACATTTGTCTATATGTTATGTTGTTTGAGTTCAAAGGTAACATAGAGACTCAGGATTATTCGAACCGCGCATTTTCTGATATTTCACTATCGGTACCACCTCCAGTGTATCATACCCTGGGGACCACATATGTATGCTTACAGCGTAGTCTTACCAATGCGAGACAAGTCACAAGAGATGCTCCATTGTTGCCTTGCTCTAGACATTTCTTGCAGTCCTCTCGATCTGTCAGCCCCACTTTCGTGCAAGCGATAACGTGAATAAAAATAAAAAGTCTTGATGAAACTGCGTACAATTGTCCCTTGGCATAGAAGAGAGTTTGGTATTATGGAATCGGAACAATACTACGCAACAAAACGCTAATAAACGAAAATTTAGAAATCGCTTAACAATATATCAAATTAAAATATACAACTCTAAGTTAGCACAAAAGATCCCAGCAGGGAGGGACACTATTGAACCAAAAATTTTATCAAAGTGGACGAGCCTCCTCCCCTAAATACTTAAATTAACATGTCTTTCAAACCGCTAAATCAAGCTCAACTAAACTTGGTGAGAATACTATAAATATTTTTAGTATCCTCCTACACTCTCAAAATCAGTGATATCAGAATGACCATGCCCACTCCTCATACAATGGTTATGTTGAAAACAAGTAAAAGTATATAAAAATAAATTTCACAATCGAGCTGTTATGGAAGGGCTTTATAAAAGCGTGGCACGGTCGATCTTTGAAGGAAATCCTTTATCTCAAAAACTGCTTCACCGATTTATTTGGTGTGTAAGGTTGCAAACATTCCCCTCCTACACTATGAACATGAATGAAATCTGATAAAAACCACACCCATTTCCACATAAAAAACTTTTAAATTTCAGCTGATTCTAGCTCTAGACAGTATACAAATAAAGCATCAATAAGGTCAACAGAATAAAATTCTGGACAATTAGTTCCCTCAAGGTATTCCATATAACGCCCAAAAATTTTCGAAATCGAAATACAACTATTCAAGCGCCCATTCACCAAATATGTGGACTCCATCTCATTTGCTGATTTCTTACCGAACACATCGGTCAGTCTGTGGGGTCTATTTTTGAAATTTGTTTAGCATATTTTCGTGAAAACATTGCCTTACATGCGTTATGCCAAAAATGTGTAAAATAGGGTCATTAATTCCTTCAACTTCATAGATCTAATGAAAGATTTTCGAGTTTTCGATCGACTTTATACCCTATCTATCAGTCATTGCGTAAGATGAAAGGAATTAATAATCTTTTTCTAATAACATAATATCCTCTTGCCTGGAATGGATGAAATCAGGGCAATACTTCCTTTAGTTCTCATATACCTAATATTTGGATTTTCAAACAACCGCTTGACTTAATATCTTATTTATATTTCGTATTGTTTTATTAACATAAAATCTATGAAGTTTCTTAATAGTAAGTTGGGAGAGTATAAAATGTTCGTCGACAGACTAACTTAGACCTTCTTACCTGGTTTTGATTTGTTGTTATAGCATATCAGTTTTTTTGTGTGATATCTATACAAATAAAATAGTTGTCGAGATATCTTGTTCTATACAAATTTTTTTTTTTTTTTTTTTTTTTTTTTTTTTTTTTTTTTTTTTTTTTTTTTTTTTTT